GTTTTCAGAGATCTTAAGAAACTTACAAATAATCTCTCACTTTGAATGTTTAACATCTCTGTTAATGGACTTTATTTTGTGTGCTGAGGGCAATAAACATTCAAACAAACAGGATATAGTCTCTATGGTGCCAAGGAAAAGAAAGCTCTGCTTTTCAAACAACAACCTTTCACTGGATCAGTAGTAGATAGGAGATGGGTGATGGAATGGAAGGGAATGTTTCCATTTAGAAGAGAAGAAAATGACCCACAAATTGGGAGGGAAAAACAAAACCAAACTGGATAAAATGGTAAAAGGTCATGCACTAAATGTCAAACTCAAATATTATATGTCAGTGGCAGAAGAACATTTCTTCTTTGAATTAATTTAGGACAAATAAATGAGTAAAATTCATTCTTGAAATTACTAAGTACAAGGTTAACTGGCCAAATTCAGCCTAACTCTAGAAATGTTGAACTCCAGCCTCTTGTATCCAAAGGATAACCATATATTCTTGAGCTCCCATGAGTGGGTGTGAGGCCTGTGCAATTGCATGGGGTGCCCATGCTTTGAAGGGCTATGCTTGGTTTTCAATGCTTTGCTGTCTTTACCTTGAAATTCTTAACAATTTTTTAACAAGGAGCCCCAAGTTTTCATTTGGGGCCTACAAATTATGTAGCTGGTCTTGATCCGAGGCTCCAAGCTTAGGAAGTGGTTACTGACCAACCGGGCAGACTAAGGTGTTTTTTACCCTAAGCCTCTCTGCATGCAGGACACTCTTCCCTTGGAGCAACTATCTTACTCAATGATGTATTGTTTTTTCCCTCATGTTTCACTCTTTACTTGTCTGTAAGATCTACTGCAATCTTTACATCTTTGAATTCTTAGCACATAGCAAGGTGTTTAGACATAATAAGCCATCAGTAATTTGTTGTGTGAATAAATGACTATTGATATACAATAGCCATCTTCTGAAATGATAAAATATTGTCTTGGACATCTTGGACATCCAAGATAAGTTTTACTTATGTACTGAATCAACTTTGAGTCATAAAGACTCTTCAATTCACTAAATCAAATGACAAAATGTGGGACATCGAATCAGCTATTTGCATCATGAATGGGGCAGCAACCTGGTTTGACATCCCTTAGACACAGCCCAAGTAGGCTGACATTCTTAAACACACTGCTCTACTTAGAAAGTGATCTTATAAGGCCCCATATTCCCCAAGAATTATCTTGTGGGGGTGTGGTATAGAGTAGTGACTAGAAAAACAGGCCTCCCATGAGTCAGGCTGACTGGGTTTAAATCCTGGTTCTTCTACAACTTAAGAGCTAGGTGACTTTGGGCAAGTCATTCAACTTAGCTCTGTCCCTATTTCATCTATTAAATAGGGATATAAGCAGAACCAGTTTGTAAGGTTGTGAGGATTTAATGAAAAAAATCATATAAAACCTTCATATACAAAGTATGATCCACAGACCAGTAGTACTGGCATTACCTGGGAACTGGTTAGAAATGTGGAATCTCAGGACACACACTAGACTGACTGAATTAGTGCTTGCTCTTTAACAAGACCCCAGTGTGACTCCTCTACCAATAGAGTTTGAGAAGCACGTAAAAAAGGGGTCTGTTATATTAGTACTTAGTCAATAAATAATAGCTTTAATCATTACTATGCCTTCTGAAGTTTAATAATCATAAAGGACCTGAAATGAGAATCTAAGTTCTTCAATTTCTTTTCTAAACTGATCTCTTCTACCTCCAGAGTAATGGTTTTAGGCCCTGGATGTGAAAGTCTTTACTGATATGATTGCTAAGTACTACCTTGGACTGAGGTTACTGTACCAATCAGTGACTTGTTATTATCCATATCTTCCACAGCAATTTGGTGGAAATACCATCAGGTCAGTTATCCTGAAAACAGATGCAATAGAAAATAAAACATACTGTTCTTCAGAGAGGAGCAAATTAGAGGAAGACAAGAAAATTATGGGAAACAAGACAGAGATTCTATACCATATGACACCATGTACCATCTGTTCAGCCATTGTTGAGATCTTCCATCTACTCTGTGGATGTTCCCTTCACTGAGGATTTTAGTGTCTGGCTCCCTGTCTTCCTCCCCAGGACTATTCCTGTCATACTTCTTGGTAGCTTCACTATCCACATATGATTTACTGAACTCTCCACCCTTTCAAGTCTTTGACTGTCTCATTTTAAGGACTGCTTTCTCAATCCCACCTCAGCCACTCTTGGCTTTTTTTTTTCTTCTTTCTTTTTTTTTTTATTATGTTATGTTAGTTACCATGCAGTACATCATTAGTTTTTGATGTAGTGTTCCATGATTCATTGTTTGCATATAACACTCAGCGCTCCATGCAATACATGCACTCTTGGCTTTTCTTAAAGTTTGTCATTACCAATACCTGTGTTGCCTTCAAAAATCTCAATTTCAAGCACCCCCCCATCACACTGTATCTTTACCTTTCAACTTTTATTCAATAATACTTCAGCTCCACATGTCAAAACCATCCCATATTTCAAAGTCCATCAGTCACTGTCTCCTTACTTAATCAGGCTCCGTGGTCTCTCACTATTGTCACACAAAAATTAAGATATTCATGAAAGATCACAGAGTGGCTGAGCTACAAAGAAAATCAGATCTCTTCTTGGCTTTAAAATAATCTCCACAATATTGGACAGTCCCTATAGTCTTCCCAGTTCCATTGTCCAAATGTGTATGAGGATCTTCTAGGTACAATGCATTATACAAATATATTGTGATGAGTTACAAAGATATGTCAGAGAGAATTCCAGTCCTCTTGGAGTACAGTTTGGCAAAATAAATAAATAAATAAGTAAATAATAAGGCAGATATATCAATGGATGTAATGGAAGATAGGAAATGGGGTTAACAGGGGAGGTAAAAAATAGAGTCCATGGAAACTTAGAGGAGAAAGAGCTACTTCTGACTGGGAGATTAAGGAAATCTTCAAGAAGAAAGCTACATATGTTACTTAAATAACATACTTAGACCTTAAAGAACTTAAAGGTGATTTGGAAGTGCAAATTAGAACTTAAAGTTATAATCTAAAGGAGACTTAGAAATGTAGTAGTAAGTGTCAGAGTACTCCAACAGAGAAAAAAAGAGTATGACTAAAGGTAGGAGAGCATAAAGGAGAAGAGTAAGCCGTGCATTCATTTTGGCTGGAATGAAGGAGGCATAAAAAGAGAACAGGGCAAACAAATGATTGACCTGTCCACTGGGATGTCAAAATCATTTTCCACCCACACACCAAAACTGTTCCTCTCTGTCTTCCACCAGCCAGTTGCTAAAACTCTAAATGTACAACTAATCCTTGATTTCTATATTTCTTTGACAATTTTTATCCATTCTACCAGAAAATCCTGTTGACTCTACTCCCAAAACCCATCCTGAAACCACCTACTTCTTTCCAACTTCATGGAAAACACCTGAAATCCAAGCCACCATCATTTCTCACTTGAATTGTCACAATATCTTCTCTCCTTCCACTCTTGTCGTCTTAAAATCTATTCACAGAGTAACAGCAGCCAGAGTAACCTTTCCAAAAATTTAATCAGATTACACTACTCCCCAGCTGAACATTTTACAGTGTTGCCCTTCACACTTAGAATGAAATTCATATTCCTTACTTGGACAAAGTCCCATACAATCCACCTCTCTGTCCTCTCTTCTATCAACTTTTACCTACTTGTCTACCAACATAGGCCTTCTTTCTTTCCCTGAACATATCAACACTATCTCTTCCTTAGATTCTTTGCATTACCTACTCCCTGTGCCTGAAATGTTGATGTGTTTCAGCTGTACTGCTCATGGCTAACTTCTTACCATCAGATGATTGTTTAAATGTCACCTCTTCAGGGAAGTCTTCCCTGACTAGCTAGTCATTCATTTATGCCCTAGTAAATTATACTATTTTAATTTTCTGCATAGTTCTCATTACTATCGGATGTTTTGTCTATATAATTTTTTATTGTCTGTTTTCTTCAATGAAGTATAAGAGCTTGGGGCGCCTGGGTGGCTCAGTTGGCTAGGCATCTGACTGTTGATTTCAGCTCACGTCATGATCTCAGGGTTGTGAGATCCAGCCCCACATCAGTGTACAGTCTGCTTATTCTCTCCCTCTCCTTCTGCGCTTCCCTCCACCCCATGCATGCATGCTTTATCACTCTTAAAAAAAAAGAATATAAGAGCTCAAATTTTGACTCCATTGTTCCCTGTTCCATCCCTAACACTTAGAAATGTCTGGTGCTGAATAAATAAATAAATTAATGGCTAAATCAAAGAAAGCTGGAATGTTATGTGGGGCCTTGAATGCCAAGATAAGAAGTTGGACTTTATTCAAAAGAAAAATAGAATTTTGAGGTCTTTGAAGTGGAGATAGAAAGATGCAAAAGACACACTTCTTGCCTTCAAAGACTTTATGATTCACAAATTATACCAAACCATATTATGAAAAAACAAACTCGGACCAAATCATATTATGAAAAAAAAGCCAGTGTCATATCATAAGCACCAAATGAATGACATAAAACAATGCATGCTATAGGAATTTGGCTAAACTATAGCGCGCAAGCTGGGATAATAGAGAGGAAGTTGGAACTTAAAGGCCACAAGACATACGCAGGTGGAAAGAAGGAAGGGAGGAAATATCTAAGCAGGGGAAACATGTTAGCAAAGACACAAAGGCAAGAAATGTTTTCAGTGAGCTCAGGGTATAGAATAGATTAGTTTAGTCCCAAACTAAGAGTACATACAAAGGGATTTTATACCAATGTATTAATAAATATCTGTTTTATCATAAAAGCATGGTCCTTAAATAAAAATGCTTGCCTCAAAGATCAAAAACTGAAAATTGTACTAAGAATATACTATAACAACATGCCCATAGAATCACTAATTAAATTGTTTTCTATTTTCTGGCAAGTAAATTTGAAAATTAATAAACATTCTTTTTCTTATCACTTCCCACAGAGTTGCCACCCCATTTGGAGGTTTTGAAAAAGCATCAAAAATGGTTAAATTCAAAGTTCCAGATTTTGAGCTACTACTTCTAACAGATCCCAGGTTTACAGTTTTTGCCAATCCTCTTTCTGGCAGACGGTCCTTTAATAGGACTCCAAAGGGATGGATATCTGAGAATATTCCTATAGTGATAACAACTGAGCCTACAGAGGATACCACTGTACCAGAAACAGAAGACCTATGAAAAGAAAGTTGTATTTGCCACAAAACCTCTAAACATAAATGTTGCTGTTTTATTATTCTACTTACTGGCAAAGCCACTTACACTCTTCATTAGTAGCAATAATTTAATAGCAATTTAGCAATTTTCCTTTTATCACATTTAAATTCAATCTCAGATCAAACACTAATAAACAATTTGAAATCTTGTTTTAAAAACTTTCGACTCACTTGTCTTTATTCATAATTTTGTTTTCACCTGGTCTAAACAATCCAGGCTTTTCACCGAGAAAGTCCAGAAGAGTAACTGACAACAAAAGGTTTCATCTTCTTTTCCTTTAATATGAGCTACTTTTTAATAAGTTTTTCAAGTGGAATCTAGAATTAAAGTGCAGTGCAAGATATTTAGACTCATTTGGAGTTTTCTTTAAGGGATGAAAGTTATGGAAGCCAATATACAAACATTGATGGAGAAAAGGGTTGGAAAAGTTTCCTTTCTGGTGACCAGGATAAAATAGCATGTCTGGATAAAGACTTTTCATTAGTCATTCTTAGAATCTAAACTGCTTGTATTTTTTGATCAGCTTTGAATCACTAGGTAACTATTCCAGATGACATTCTCCAAAGTTCAGTTGGGTTACTATATTCATTTAGTATTAAGTCAAGCAGACAGAGAGACAATGACTCAGTGAACATCATACTTGTCTTAATGGCCAGGGTGTACTTGGAATTCAAGCTCCATAAATCCCAAAGCTGTGTGTTGATTAGGTTTGACTTTATGTATGCATTTTTAGAGGAGTAATAACAAATAAAATATATGCTTGAATATGTCTAAATCTCTCTCTCTCTCTCTCTCTCTCTCTATATATATATACATGAGAGAGATGTATGATTTGAATTAGCAGCACTTTTTTTTTTGCTGAAACTTTAAAGTCTACTTAGTCCTTAAATACTAGGGAGTATATGTTATAAAATGCAATCAAAAACAAGAAATGGAAGAGTACAAAAGCATCTGAAAGCAAGGTAGCACACATCAATCCTGAGATATGTGAACATATTGATATACAAGGCTCAAACTAATATAAAGTTATAGATCTGTCTTAAAATATGATAGAGGGAGTAGATAGCATAGAGCTGGTAAGAAATAAGTATCAATTTTTTCCATTTCAATTCAGTTGAGAGTTCTGTGATAGATGTTTATGCCAGAGAAGGAATGCCTCAGTCATAGAAAACTATGCACCAGACTAAGTTTAGGAAGGAGAATGGATCGTAAAGAAAATGCCACATAACAACATTACATATTTACAAAAGAATCTGTGTATGCAGTGTTGGAATTGGTGGTTGTTTTAATCATCTTCTAGTCTTGTAAGCAGAGAAATTTTTTTAAAAACTACTAATGAAAAAATGCAATCTCTAGAAAGTAGCAATATCAAAGTATTGTGCTAATACATACTGAAATTATAGAGAATTTGTATAATTTAAAATATATCTTTAAGATAACTTAGTTTTATTTAAGTTCTGGTGTTTATCTGTTTTAAAATAATAACATTGGCATCTGTGATAAACTAGATATAAGGCTCCCATCATGCCATTTTTTGGTCCATTTTTAATGTTTTAAAAAAATAAAAATTAGCCATATTCTATTATGCATTATGAAGAAATCATTTAGTTTTTATTAGCAGTTTGAAACGAGTTACCATTTCTCATTAAATTGAAATTTTATTGCATGATTTCAACCATCTCCAAGTAATTAAACTGTATGCTCAATGTCACTATTCTGTCAACCACCAAAAGGGGGCCCAGCGATTAAATATGCTAGCTAAAGAATACTCCCCACTCTGCAACTACCATAAAGGAGTATTTAAGAAGGGAAAATCTTAAGTTTATTTTTTTTTTTTAAGATTGGATAGAAAATGATGGAATAACTCTCTGTTCACTATTGTATTTCTTCCTTTCCTGGAAGTGTGTATTAATTTAGCTCAGCTGTCTGACACCCTTAGAAATGCCAAAATTTCATACTCTGGTTGCTACACAATTGAGAATTTGAAAGGAATTTTGAATAGGTTTCCATTACCCTGAAAAACAGCTAAATTTTTCCAAGTCTGAAGAAATATGAGAGTCTATTTAGAACAGCAGAAAATCTGTGATATCTTTTCCAGTCATATTTGTATACATGAAAAATGGAATAAAGGAGAAAGAAAAAGTAAAAGAATAAAAAGAATTTTCATTGATGGACTATTAAATGCCAGGCACCGTACTCATGGTTTTATAAAGGCTTCTTAACATATATTTGTAATATTTTATTTGTAAAATTATCCTGTGAGGAATGTATTAGAAATAATCTCAATATTAAAGAAAATTGAGCCTTAGAGAACTAAGGTGATTTGCTTAATTCTAGGAGGAGAACTTGGTAAGTCTGGCTCTAAAATATATGCTTGGCATTGTTTATCTTCTCTTTCAGAATAAAATTCAACCTTAAGCTATTTTTTTACATTAGACAAAATAAGAATAAATCTCCATTATCTTAGTTTGAGGGAAATACAGCTATAAACTGGACAAATTCAGAGTCCCCCTCCAAAGTCACTCAAGCACTCATGATCAGAGAAGGCTGCTCTGTCAGGCTATATTGAACGTGAACTCAATAAAACAAGCAACATGCATGTTTAATTTTGAAATTTGAGAACCACAAAAGCGAACTCTGTTTAAATTTGCTCATTTCTGCTCAGGATCGTGCATCTTCCTTTTCTTTCCCCTGCAGAGGCAAAGGAGGAGAGAAGAGGAAAGAAAGGCAAGGAGTGCATGACACTAAGAACCGTAAGGTTGAAAGAAATCATCTAGTGTGATAATACACCAAAGCCATTCCTTTAAAGGAAAATATTTTCTACTTTACAAAACTAGACAGAACTCTCTCAATTTCCATTATACTGTTCAACAGACTTCCAGATCATGAAATTATATCTCCTATTTTATGTAAGCCAATTTCCTGATGATCAGCTAGCTGGCCAATTGTTCTCTAGATAATAACTAGAGCCACATTAATAACTAGAGCTACAGTTAAAAAGACCACTCTTGGTTTTTAACTCTACTCCCTTCAATCATTTCTCAAAGTTAGGATTTTCCATTTCTTAACTCACTATTCAAAGGCACTTGATAATTAAAAATAACTAATTACCGGTCATTACAGAATCAAGGCAAGTATAAACAATAATTTTGAATCTAAGTGACCATTTATTGAATCCATTTAAACTTTTACATTTTCTAAATAGATCCATTTATAAATGTTTTAGCCGCTTGGAAATGGAGGGAGGCAATTATTCTTGCAAAGGCTAATGTGGAGCAAAATGTCCAGTCGTGAGCATGAAAAGAACGTCCTGAACTTTCCAACTCAGGGCACAGCTGTAGCAGCAGACTTATTAATTCTGGAATTTCCTCACTCTGCTGCTTATGCAAGATAAAACTTACATGACATCATTGCAGTTTCTCAGCCACAACTGCTTTTTATTAAGCTTAGGGAAGTATTGCTTTGAATGCTTCTTTTCTTATGAAAAATACTTTCGACCTCCACATGCTCTATTCTGCAGGAAGAAGGGTGGTTTGCTTTCTATGAAAGGTGGAAGAGTGACAGCTTCTGCCCAGAGAACAAGCAAGGGGAATCTACTGATCAAAGCACTTCACCAATATATCAACAAGTCTTTGGAAAATTATAATACTTAAAAAAGTTCAACTTTCCAGAGCCAAGAAAAAAAATAAGTAAAATTGTGTAAAGATTTCCAGGGCTGAAGCTGGAGTGTTATCAGATAAAGAATAGGGTGTGTCTCTATTTGAATTCCTTAGATAGAAGGGCTGGATTTTAATCCAGGAATAGAAACTTTTTCTGCTTTCTCAATATAATGTGATATCAATAGGAAGATTTGGTCCCCCCCGGTCCAGACCGGGGGAAAATGCTAATTTTAAGAGGTTATGGTTCAGCTCCAAAAAGAATGTGCTTATTTTTCTGTACTGTGTTATATTGTGAAACACATTTCAGTGACAGCTTAGGCACTGTAGGGGATGGAGATGTTTCAGGAAACAGGACCGGAAAAAGTCAGAAGGAAAAAAGATAAATTCAATGTCATACCCTATTTTAAAACTGCTGATTGAGGAACTAGTATAGAAGCTGCAGCACTAGCAAAATAAATATAAATGAAAGGGGCAAAAAAGGAATGCCAGAATGAGCTGAAAGGAAATCCACGCTAGCCTGGGCAGGAATTAATTGTGTCATTTAGTGCTTTCTGCAGGTTTCTCCTCATAACCTTTTGAAGTACTTCTAATTCTACATGTACACAACTGTCTGATGTGAATTGTCCCCCAAACAGACACTCTCAGTACATTTTCTGTATCATCACGTACTTACAGATAACATAAAGGCAGTCGTTTTGAAGGTACCATCTGGGGGCTGATCTCCCTCAAATCAGCAATGTACTCTCAAGCAATTCACTTCACTCTGTAAGTCGGTTTTCTCCAATTCTTTATGTGACTCAAGTGCTTCCTCTGCCTGAGACCTTCCCTGACCATCCTTAATCCAGAGCATATATTTCTAACACCTTATTGTGCTTTTTTTTTTTTTTAAGATTTTATTTATTTATTTGAGAGAGAGAGCGTGCGCACGAGTCGGGGGTGAGGGGGAGAATCCCATGCAGATGCGGGGCTTGATCTTGCGACCCTGAAATCATGACCCAAGCCGAAATCAAGAGTTGGACACTTAACTGACTAAGCCACCCAGGTGTCCCATTATTGTGCTTTTTTAAAATAGCACTTATTACTCCCTAACATAATATGTTAGTCTGGGTCCTCTGAGAAGCAGATGTCAAGATGGGGTTAAATCTGAAAAAATTGTATTAGGAAAAATGCCCTCAAAAGTGAAAAGGGGGAAGGAGTCTAGAGGGCTGGGAGAGCCAAGAGACTTCACTGAGTCTCTTGTTCCTGTTTCCCACTGACTTTTTCCACACTACCATGCAGTCGAGGGAAGATGCAGCGCAGTTGTTGGAGGATCCTTGAGCCAAAGTCACCTGCAGGAGAGGCCCTGTGTTTCCCTGAAACGGTTCTGCCTTAGTGTCCCTGTCACAGTCAGTCATCGGCTGGGAACAGACTGTGGAAGGCAGCCTAGGCCCGAATGAAGTGATGGAGGTCACAGTGCACCAGAACTGGGGCCCTTGGTCAATAATGTTGTTGGAGATCTGTAAGAAGCATTCTTATGACCCACCAAAATAATATACGTACTTGTTCCTACCATGTTCATCTCGCCCACCAGACTGAATGTTTTCCCAGGGCAGAAACTTTGCCTTTTTTATTAATTGCTCTATTCTCTGTGCCTGGTACATAGTAAAGAACAATAAAAATGTGTTAAATGAATAAATTACCTGAATTATGGGGATAATATTAGTTGCTATCTTAAAAATAAATGCATTATAAAGTATACTATCCCATACATGGTAAGTCCCTCAATAAATGTTAGCTATTGTTATGAATATAATAAAAATATGTCAACATCATGCAGTAAGAAATCAAAGGCACTGAGAACTAAGCTAGATTAGAGGTTACATTGAAAATTCTTTGGGATAAATATACTTGGCTCTGATTTG